TGCTTCATGACCTGGAAACCCGGAAATCACTTAAAAAACAACTTCTTCTTTCTACTAGAATATTAGTTTCATTATGGTTTGAGGCAGAGCAGCAATTCTGGCTTTAAACACCTCAGAGAAAACAAAGGTTTCCATTTGGCCCATCCAAAGTCTGGACGTCAATCCCATTGAGATGCTGCAGCATCACATCAGACAGTTATTGCTCCTAAGAGTGGCAACGACTGGTTACTGGGTTTTAGGGGCCTGTTAGGACTCACCTTGCCTGGCCGTATATTCATTATCCTCAATCAGCCGAGCCAGCCCAAAATCAGCCACCTTGCAAACCATATTATCTCCGACCAGGATGTTAGCAGCTCGGAGATCTCTGTGCACGTAGTTCATCCTCTCCACATAGGCCATCCCTGAAGCGATCTGAGAAAAGGTGGAAACTTTGAAGGGTTTATTCAAAGAAATCAGAAAATCTCAAGCTAGGGAAAAAATATTTGTGCTGACCTGAGAGGCAAAGTCCACCAGCTGAGGGAGGCGCAGCAACGCACCATACTCTCCTTTCAGAAACTCCAGTAAGCTTCCTGTTTGCAGAGACACGAGTTCCAGATCAGTGTGAGGCTGACTGAGTTTGTTAAACGCTATAAAATTTCTGGTAGTGATTTAAGGTTTTATTCTGACCTTGGCCCATGAACTCTGTTACGATGAAGATGGGCTCCTCAGATACCACGGCGTACAGCTGAACCAGCTTCTCGTGTCTCAGTTTCTTCATGACCTGAGCTTCCTGCAGGAAGGCCTCGGGGGACATGGTCCCCGGCTTCAGAGTCTTGATCGCCACCCGCGTCGTTCCGTTCCACGTTCCTGACAGAACAAACCAGACCTGCTACCAGTGACAGTAAAGGCTCGGAAGATTTCCTTCATTCCTTCTGTCATGAGTTGACACGTTCTGTCAAGGTGCCAAGAAGATAACGAGAGGAGCTCTAAACTTATAAACATATAACTAACTGGCCTGAATAAGATAACAAGATAAAAAAAAAAACATTTTTAAAGCAATTTTCTACATTTTGATAAAGAGTACATTTATTTACATGTTTAAGCCAAAATGATTTGATATTAATATATGATTTTCCTACGACTTTAGGAGTGTTTAGCTACCATCACACATAAAATCTCCTCAACAACTTAAAGGAATAGTACACCCAAAACATGATTAG